GTCGATCTCAGAAGATATAAGAGCTAGAGACTTGAAATTTGTTTTCCTAGGTCCGTGTATATCACGCGCATATCAAGTTTTTCTCTAAATATCGATAACTACTCTCAGTATTTTATTATCGTGCGTCTGTATGTATGTGTGCCGAAAAGAAGTGCACAGTGATTAGAATATCAGATTGGAGGGTTCAGGGTACCTCCTAATCGAGCAGTCTCGACGAGAGTCTTCTTACTTGTTTCTAATTTGTTTTAATGGATCATTGATTTGGCAAATCAAATCGTTCTGTATATTTTGAAGCATACATATAAGAACTTTTTAAACTATTCTATTAATTCTGCTTTTAGGTGTTGCGTCTAATATGTTTTTCCATTTCTTTTCGAGTTTAATATTTTATAGCCCGCTTCTTGGCATCAGATTTTCATACATTTCATTTGTATACCCTGAACCCATTTTCAATGGGAAATCAGGGTATATTGGTTTTCTTGAAATGTATGTAACAGGCAGAAGGAGGCGTGGTAGACCCCATAAAGTATATATTCTTGATCAGGGCGACGAGCTGAGTCAATTTGGCCCTGTCCGTCCGCCTGTCCGTATGTTTGAATTCGTCGATTTCAGAAGATATCAGAGCTAGAGACTAGATTTTTTTTTTTTTCAAATGTCCGTACATATAGCCCAGATATCGAGTTTATCTCCACTAATCGATAACTTTTCCCGTTATTTTTTTATCCATTAAAAACAATATCGAAAATAAGCGATTTAATTATATCTGTAAAATCTTTAAAACTAGAGTCGCCAAATTTTATATGTATTTTATAAAATTTCGATTGTAGTTATAATTTACCCCCTGCCCCTATATCCATCCCCTCTAATAAAGAAAGTACATCCACACGAAAAGTTATCAAACAATTAAGTTCCCATAGTAAGCCGATACTGCAGCCGTGTTTATGCGTGCGTGCCTATATATGGTCCTGTGAGTGGGTATCTCTTGTGTAAGCAGAAAGACGCAAAATATTATTAAAATATCACTTGCTCGAAGGGTTCAGAGGATCTTGTAGTCGAGCAGTCTCGACTACAGCTTTCGTACCTGTTAATGTTATAGTGAATAAGTTGAAAATTATCCAAAATTTAAAACTCAGAAGGAAAACTTTTTTAAATGGAGCTCAGTTTATTGTTAATCAAGCGACCAGTGCAGTCCAGGACAAATGGGCCACCAGAATCACACTGGAAGGTAGATAACTTGTTGGGGGTGGCATTGCAGATGACCTTGGCGGAGGCTACGAGGGAGCCATAAGTGGACTGGCAAGATTATGATTATAACATGAATATGCATGTAATTGCCAAAGCATAAGTCTCTAGTATTTGAAATACGCGTTTTACAAAAGTGAGGGTGAGGGGGTGAATTTAGAGGTGGGGGGTAAATTTTAACAAAAACCGAAATTGTATAAATTGCATATAAGCATA